GAGAGCGAGTCGCCGCCGAGCGATGCCCGCCTCCCCGCCGGTCGCCGCTTCCCGGGGAGCGCTGGGCAGCGGCATGACGGGGCGAGCTGAACATTTCTAGCCGGGGCGGGGGGGGAAGCGGGGAGCGCGGCCGTCCTGTGCGATGAACGGCGTTGCTGTAAGGAGCCGCGGGGTGACGACGGGGCAGGTACTGAGCCTCTTGCTTTTGTTCGGCGTTTCCGACTGGGTTTCCGCCGCGATTCGCTATGCGATCCCCGAGGAGGCGCGGAGAGGCTCCACGGTGGGGAACGTGGTAGCCGACCTGGCGCTGGACCTCGGGCGGCTGCCGGGTCGCCGGTTGCGGGTGGTGTCCGGCGGCACCAAGAAGTACTTCGGGGTGGACTTGGCGAGCGGCGCACTGCTGGTGAGCGAGCGGATAGACCGGGAGGAGCTCTGCGGCGCGCTCTCTCCCTGCTCCCTCAGCTTTGAGATCGTGGTGGAAAACCCTCTAGAGCTGTACAGCGGCACCGTGGAGATCCAGGACATTAACGACAACGACCCGGTTTTTCCCAGCAGCCAGGCGAGGCTGGAAATCAGCGAGTCGGTGGTGGCCGGAGCGCGCTTCCCGCTAGAGAGCGCGCAAGACCCCGATGTGGGGATTAACTCTTTGCAGACCTACCAGCTCAGTGCCAACCCGCACTTTGCACTCGACGTGCAGACGAGGGTGGATGGCAGCAAGTACGCGGAGCTGGTGCTAGAGAAGGAGCTGGACAGGGAGGAGCAACGGGAGCTGCACTTGGTCTTGACTGCGCTGGATGGAGGCAGCCCGCCACGGTCAGCCCATGTGCAGATCCACATTGATGTTGTGGACGCCAACGATAATGCCCCAGTCTTCAACCAGTCCACATACAAGGCAAGTGTGAGGGAGAACACGCCCAGCGGTACCCTGGTCGCCAGGATCAGTGCGTACGACCTGGATGATGGGCCCAATGGAGACATTGTCTATTCCTTCAGCAGTCACACTCCCGCCAAAGTGCGAGAACTCTTTGCTCTGGACTCGGTCACAGGGGAGTTGAGGGTCAAAGGACAGCTGGACTATGAGGAAACAAAGCTGTATGAGATTTACTTACAGGCTAAAGACAAGGGCGCTGTTCCTGGTGTAGCTCATTGCAAAGTGCTGGTGGAAGTCATGGATGTGAACGACAACACTCCAGAAGTGACAGTGACTTCTGTGTACAGCCCTGTGCCTGAAGATGCAGCCCCAGGGACAGTCGTAGCTCTGCTGAGTGTAACAGACTTGGACTCCCATGACAACGGTCTGGTGAACTGCCTCATTTCCCCTGGGATCCCATTCATGCTCAGCTCCTCCCTCAAAAATTACTACACGTTGAAAACAAAAGCAGCTTTGGACCGGGAAAAGGCATCAGAGTATAACATCACTATCACAGCCAGGGACTCGGGCTCACCACCCTTGTCTGCAGTAAAACAGATCCTGGTGCAGGTGTCAGATGTCAACGACAATGCACCCAAGTCTTCCCAGGACTCCTATGATGTGTATGTGCTGGAGAACAACATGCCTGGCATCCCTGTCCTTAATGTGAGCGCCACAGACCCAGACCTTGGGCGCAATGCCCATCTCTCCTATACCCTCTTGCAGGGTGACACCACTGTAGGCCACCTCTTCTCCATCAACCGGGACAATGGCACCCTCTACCTGCTCACCTCCCTGGACCACGAGGACCAGGTGGAGTTCAACATGATGGTGCAGGTCCAGGATGGTGGCTCTCCGCCTCTGGTCACCAATGTCTCAGTCAGTGTGTTTGTCACTGACCTCAATGACAATGCCCCAACTGTGCTGTACCCTCTCCCTAACACCACTGCCACCTATACCGATGTGGTGGCACCAGGCACTCCTGCTGGGCACATGGTCACCAAGGTAGTGGCAGTGGACGCGGATGCAGGGTACAATGCCTGGATCTCCTATACCCTGTTGCAGGCTACTGACCCCAGCCTCTTCTTAGTTGGGCTGCACAGCGGGGAGATCTTCACGGCTCGCCAGCTCCGGGAGGATGATGCTCCCCAGCATGCATTAGTCATCCTGCTGAAAGACCATGGGGAGCCTGTTCTGTCTGCCACTGCCACTGTCTCCATCTCTGTGGCCGAGATGGTCAAGGAGGTGTTCACTGACCTCTCTGATGTGGCACCTGCCAATGACCCCAGGAGGCATGTGACTTTCTATCTCATCCTGGCTGTGATTTTGGTGTCAGGAGCTTTCTTCATCACCATGTTGTCAGTGGGCATCTTCAAGTGCTACAAATGGAGGCAGTCAAAGGAGCTGTTCAACAGCTCCAGGAACACCCTGTACAGGACACCAGGGCCCTTCCACCACATTGATGCTGTGCGGGGCGGCTTCACGCCACCCAACTTCTACCACCAGGTCTATCTTACCACAGACTCTCGCCAGAGTGATCTCCTGTGTAAAAAGCCCTTCACTTCCAGCCCTCTGGGCAGTCGACAGAGCACCATGAGGAGTGGTGAGCCAGGGCTGTACCACCAGATTGTGGGCACCGCCAGCCGGCTCCCCACACCTGCCGAGGTAATGTAGCTCCTTCCTTGGCACATCCCAGTGCCAGGCAGAGCCATGGTTCATTTATGCCATATGCATAAGGTAGCAGAATGGGGTTGGGGGGAATATTCAGTCGCTCCGTGCCTTTGAAGAGTGGTTAGCTGTAGCTGAACAGGTCTTCTTTGGAGTCAGATAAGCCGTTCTGAGTGTCAGTGATGTTTGTACTGTGGTGAGCAGGCTCAAGTGAGCCAGTTTGCTCAGGTTATTGAACATATGTCTTTCTGATGCAGTTTTGGATACGCCTTGTGTGAGTAACTGGTGAAGGCTGAGGTCAGCTTGTAACCAGTTGCAAATCCTTGGCAGAAAGTTTGCTGCTAATGGTATTTCCTTCCCTTTGCAAAATGAGAGCTGAGGGGAGCACTTGTGGGGTCAGGCACTGGGAGGGGAACATAGCCTCTCTGTGTCGTGCGCTGATGTAGGCTGAGGAGGTGGTGGTAAAAACGGGGCTGGGAGCCACCAGATGCCAGTGGGGGACTGGGGTGTCACTTCCCACAGCGTAGCATGCAAAGCTGTAGGATGATTCTGGTTCCTGCATTTGACAGACCATGGCTACAGATCAGTCCCTTCTGTCCGTGTCTCACCTCACGTTTGACTCCTGATGGTTCCGTTCCGGTTTTGTTTCTGTAGAAGTTTTGTGATGATGTTCACTTTCGGGTGGGGGGCGGGATTTCAGACTACCCAGTTGCTTGCAGAGCTCCACTGAGCTGGACTGTGCTCTAGGCAGGATGGTGAGTTCTCCACGCAGGTGTTGTTTTAACAACCCTGTTACAAGCCCTGCATGATTTGTAATATGTTATCTCCGGGTGTCTAATGTCCTCACTCACAAACTGCAGTCAGGAAGGCGTTTGTGCATGGCAGGCAGCTTCTGTGCTTCTTCCCCAGTGAGAATTATGCAGCTTAATTTGAGAGCTTTCAATTACAGGAATGCTTCGATCTTCAGTGCTGAGGTTGGGTAGTGGATCCAGCAGAAGGGGGGTGATCTGATGGATTTCCAGGGTGATTGATGCTGGTAATGTGTCCATGCCTGGGAAGCTGTGAGTAGGAGCGACCGGTTCCTCTGAGCAGAAGGAAGTGAGGTGCAGCGGAAGCTGCGCAGGGGTGTGGGGCTGCGTCTGCTGCCTGCTCACTGCAGCCAAATCACAGATGGAGGCAGAAACCTCTCAGAATTTTTTCTTTTCTTTTTTTTTTTTTTCTCCTGTGTCGCTGCTCAGACTCAGCACTTCTCATTTGTGGCAGGTGGAAATGGCTGCAGCAGCTGCAGAAGCAAGTGTTCCTCTGCATTGTGTGGGCTGTCCTACAGCTAGGGACAAGGATGTCCCCTCCACCAAAGGGTCCTGGCAAGATGCCTCTGGGGGTGGGGACAGTAAGTGATTTGAGAGTGGGAATGGAAGGAGGTAAACCTGAGACCTAGCCATGGCTCCCCCCTACTCCCCAGTATACACTGGAAAGGCACTTGGCAGTGAGAAACCAGCTGGGCTGGCACTGGGCCCTGGATTTTCAGTCTTTGTGGTCAAAGAAGATCCAGTCCAATGCCACAAACTGTGTCAAGCCTGCAAAAGCTTTACACCTCTTTGCTCTGCAGGGCAGCAGTCAGACCCCAAAACTGATGTAGTGAGCAGGGTGCTGCCCCTATCTGCGGCAGGTGGCGTGTCCTGCAGGGTCTCCAGTGATCCCTCAGTTCCCTGGGTAGTCTGGGTCAGAGACTTTCCATAGGGTGACCTCTGGCCCTCTCAAAGGGGGACATCTCTTTCTGTGTCCTAGACACCCCAAACCTTTCCTGCCTTACCACCATCCCCATCCTGGGCTTTGGCAGACCCAAGCAACAGCAGGATCCCCCGTGTGAAGCCTGTCCCTTGCTCCAGCCCCTTGGTGGCTGAGCCACCTTGGGATGCTGAGTGGATTCTCCGAGACCATGTGGGCTTCACAGGGGCCTTCTGCTGAGGCACCACAGCAGCATCAAACCCGTTCCCAAGGGTCCTGTGTTGCCAGTGGCAAGGTCTGTCACCCAGCTGTGCTATCCCGGGCCCTGCCTGGGATGGAGACAGGGCACATCCCAGAGTCAAGGTTACTGCAAAAGCTTCCTGCTGGTGGCACCGTCGGAAGCCCTCGGGGAATGAGTAGGTCTGAGCAGGTGTTGGGCTCTGGACAGTGGGGAATGCACTTGTCCAGCGTTTTGTTGCATTGGGTCTTTAAGAATGCCTTCTCCCCTTCCCCGGAGCAGGCAGTAGGTGGGACCCGGGCGCTATTCTGCACCAATCGCGATGTTCCTTTCTCCATCTCTCCCTGACTGGCAGCGTGCCTGTCCCGCCCCGTGGCTCTTGGAATGGGCAGGGAGGGGGCTGCACCGGGGAGGGAGGCCCCTCGACGGCAGCACTTCCACCGTCACTGTCCTCGCCCAGAAGGATGGTGTCCCTGCCACCGTCCACTGTGCCGGGCATGGGTGCCCCTAGCCTCTCTCACCTATTCCCCCAGGTCACCTTGGTGCCCAGGTGGTGGGTACAGGCAGGGTCCCAGGCAGGAGCTGGCTCCCCTGCCTGCCATACCACTGTGGACCCCAGCCCCAGGGGTCTGCATGCACCCAAGGGGGGCCAGGGGGGCCTTTGGGTGTGCCAAGGATGGGACTCCAGGGCATGACTGCACAAGGCTTCTGCAGGGATGTGAACCAAACTAACACTCTGAAGCTTGCCCCTCTACTCTGGGACAGGGAGAGGGGAAAATTACTGCCCCACTCCTCCTCGGGGAGGCTGAGACCCCTGATTTTGCCCTCCAGGAGATTGGTTAGCTGCAAAGCTGTGTCTGCCACAGAATTTCAGTGTGTGTGTCTGTCACATGCGAGACTTGGGCCTCCTTCCCCAATATAATGTCCCGACCCTCTGTTGTGATCCGATGGTGGTCAAGTGGACTTGTCAGCTGGTTCCGTGTGTGTTTGCAGTAACTTGGGTCCTGAGAAGGTCGACCCCTTCCTTATCCCAGGGTGAGGAAGGGGCATCCAGCTGTGTGTGTATGTGTGTGTAGCAATTGCATTCTAGTTTTGAATGGCTTACCTACCTCTGCCTTCCCACATTCTGCCTCTGACACCCAAGAGGGCTGGCAGGGGTGGGCATCCCTGTCTTGGTGCAAGCTTTCCTGGCTGATGGTAGTACTGGTGGCAGTGATGCCTCATTTACAGAGGCAATCCTGGGGTCCGGGTAGTAGCCAAAGCATTAGCTAGAGGGGAGAAAAGGGGCGGGAGAAGAGCCCCTGGCACTTCAGGGCTCTAACAAGCACCTTTTCATCAGGCATGAAAAGTCCTTTGGCCCGCGTTCATGACAGCTGCCCTTTGTCTGTGGGCATGATGTGAAGCCACCATTGAGGCAGGGGGAGAGCACAGGGAGGGCTTGTACCTAGCTTTCAGGCTGCCAGGACGTGCAGTTTCCCTGCGAACGGGAAGGGAGCTGTTGGAGCAAGTGACTCAGGCTGGCGGAGGGGAGGCCGGGGGTGGCAGCCCCGCTGATGCCGGCTCGGGCCCCTGCTTCCCGCACCTCCGTGAAGCCACTACTGGCCGAGAGGCGACGGAGCTCTCGGCCAATTGGGCGCTGATCTGAAG